GGGGAGGACGGCTCATTTCGCCCCCTCCTTGGCTACGTTCCTGCGGGCCACGTAGGTATGCAGCTTTGGACGTGGTGTCTATAAATTCTGGCGCTGGTAATTCTATTCTCAGTACTGATTGCCATTTCGTGTATACTGTAAAGATATCGAAAATATACGACCACTCAGAGAACCTGTGTATTGGACCACCCTGCAGGTGACGCGGCGATGCGGCCGGGAGATACGCGCAGCTCTGGTATTTGGCGATGCATGGGCATTGGCGGACTGGAGGCAACACCTCCCAGGCTGACATCGAGTTCTGCGGTGGAAGCGCAGAACCCCTTTCTAGCACCAGATTCCGTACTGACATGCCAATGAAATGGAGAGCATCAAATACGAGCGAATGTTTTTTCCCATTACTTAACCTAAATGGTCCTCATGTCAACCGTGTCATCTGCACCACGCGACTGGCTGCAGAGGACGTGTTTTTCGCAAGATGAGTTGGGGTGGGGGTGGGGGGGGGGGGGTTAAACGGTTAAAAATGACGCAACCTGCCTCAAAGCACGCCAATAAACGGGTTTCTCCACGGCTTCGGCTTACTTTTGCCCCAATACTGGGGGGATGGGGCTTAAGTTGGGGAGGGAAGGGCCTAAAGGACGCATCCCCTCAACTGAATCGGAAACTACACCTCTGACTGGATTCCGTTGAAACATGATGGTGACCGTAGGCTAAATTTATTCACAAACAGAGTGTCATTTGTAGCAGCTGTGTTATTCAATAGTTCAAAACCACACTAACATGCAGTGCAATGCTTTAGCCTCCAGCACGATCGTGGCCCACTGCTACGCTGTTTCTTGCGTGCGATGTGGCGAACCAATGTGGAGCGTAGCTTGGACCTCGGTCTACACAGATCTTGGAGGGTGCGTCTGCTTCCCACAGCGAGCACACAAATACTTTTAAGGTTTAACAACATTTGAAACAGCAGTGGGGCATGGGCTGCAACCACACCTGGCGCAACGTCACACTGCTCACGCCTACCTTGTCGCTCTTCGGTTACGATCCATTAACCCCCTCCCCTCCTACCAAATAAAACAACCGCAAGGTTTCGGGGACAGTCCTGCGGACTCGCGCCAAATGCGTGCGAAACAGCTCAGTATTTCGCCTAAACCTCTTGGCTCGGGGGGGGGGGGGGGGGTACGGTCCCTTAGCTACATCTCTGTCCCCTGTGCGCAGCAAACTACGCGCGTAGTTTGCTATGCACGTGAACGGTCCCTTACGTGGACTGATCCCTAAATCTTTCCCGTTTTGCGCTATCCATACCACTTTTAACAATAATAAACAAAATACGCCAGCTGCAAATCACATCGTCTCCATGGGAGGGGATTAAACGGCCCACCAAACCTGTTCGCAGCCTCATGCTCCAAGCCTATGTAGCCGATCAACAACAGAACTTCCCCACTCAATGCCGTTGGGTTGAACGCCCATATTTTTCGGATGACGTTGGCCTTGGGTCAGGTCAAAGGTCACCAAAAAATGTCGGAACCCGGAAAGATCCGTTTGCAGACAGGTCCATGCTCTCAGCGTATGAGGTAGATCACCACAAATTTTCACTAGAAGGTGCGCCATATTCTATGTCCCGTCCCTTTCCAAAAGCGTGATGACCTTGGGTAATGTCAAAAGTCATAAAGCGCCCAAAACTACCAGAATTGGCCGCAGACAACCCCATGCTCGTAGCCTTTAGGACCGATCTCCACAAAACCTTAACGCAGCGATGCACCATGGCTCATAACCTATCTTCTCTAAGAGGTGGAAACGGTGGGTCGGGTCAAAGATCACCAAAAAATGGCCAACACCACCAAAATTGGCCACAGAAAACCACATGCCTGGAGGATAATGCACTGACAAGAACAAAACTTTTACCAATCGATGCGTCATGGTCGAAAATCCACCCTTAGCACGCCATGGTGACCTTGGGTTGGGTTAAAGGTCGTCAAACACGCCCAAATCACCAGAGATGACTCTGCATTCAATCCCATGCTCCGAGTGCATGGAACCGATCGGCACAAAACCCTTGCTTATCAATGGTTCGAGGTGAATAATCTATCATCTTCAGAACATGGTGACCTTATGTCAAGTCCAGTGCCAACAAAAAAAAAACGCCCGAAACTGAAATTTTTTATGAACAACAGCATGTTCAGAGTCCATTGTACCGATGGACACAAAACCTGCACCTATCAATATTCCATCGTCAATGACCTATCCTTTTCAGAACATGGTGACATTTGGTCTAATCAAAGGTCGGCATGGCCTAGGGGACGGGATGGTGGCCTAGGGGCGGGACAAATACCATCAAGAAGCACCAAAAGCCATTAAAATTGGCTGTAAGCAGTCACATGCATCGAGCTTTTTAGACCGATCGGCACAGAAAACCTTTACGCATGGCCGATAACCCGTCATTTTAAGAACGGGGTACCTGGGGTTGAGTCAAATGTTATGCATCACTGATTCCCTCGGTTTCTGTCGTTGGTGACCTTTGAGCAAACCCATGGTTACCACGTTCTGGTGGGGAGAGGGTATCGACCATGACGTATCGTTTGTTGAAGATTTTTCGGATCATGGGGCTGTCTGCAAGGAGTTTTTCGGATTTGGGTGTCTTTGGTGGCTTTTCACTGCACCCAAGGACATCATGTTCTGAGACGGGTAGATTATCGACCATGGCGTATCGATTAATTGATGGGGTTGATCCACATTTAAATCAGGTTTTGAACTGAAATAGCTACCTTGAATGCCTTTCGGTGCTGTTCGCAGTTCTGCCCTTCTTAAGACCTGAGCTCCTCTAGTTTCTGAGTTGCGCGCCCGCGAAAATGGAGAGAGATTTATCGGGAAGAGTATTTCAGTCACCTTGGCATTCATGACGTCATGATAACGTCATTCAAATCCCGCCAGTTAAAAAGCCATGCAATATATAAAAGCCATATATATATAATAGCGATATAGCCATATGCAAGCCAATAAAAATTTGCCGAAATGTTCATATCTGACGTTCGTGAGCGCGATTTCTAAATATAATGGCCGTCATTTGGCTCTGGGTTGTCATGTTGCATCATGTATTTACTACGAATCGTTCCATATGTATGGCTTCATGCTTGATTCGAGTCAATGGGTTACAAGTTGCACGATAAACACAAAAATGCGGCGAGAATGATGACACGTTAAGAGCTTGAGAATGGCTCACAAAGTCAAGACGCAGCGCGGCTCCGAGAGGTCAGAACAGCCGGCGGCAGGTGGTTCCAGGACGAGGTCACACAATAGGGAAATACCGATATGCTCACTCACGGCGGTCCGAGGGGTGAACAGCGACCAGACCGCCATCGGGGCTCGGGGGTCATTTAGGGCTCTGAAAGCGCCAATATGGTCGCGACGCGTAACAAGGTCATTGTTACCGCCCCAGCACAACGACCTTACGGCCGGCGAAATATGATCATGAACCCGCACCCCCCGGGCGATCCTGGCCGCGAATTTAAGATTGTTTGTATCCGCCCGAGTTAACAGGTGGCGGCCCCGCCCCGCACTGAGAGACAGTACAGGATGTGGGGAAACATAGCCCTGGATAAGGAGTTGGCGGGCTTCGTGTGTGCGATGATGATGACGAATTTGGTATAGCCAAAACAAGATGGGGTCGTACTTTTGAATTATTTTTGGGTGTGCTCCTCCCGGGATAGAGTACGATGGATGGTCACTCGCAGCATATTCAAGGACAGCAAAGGGGTTAACTTATAGTCGGAGATGTTAAGATGGAAGGTTGTTTTTATGGCCTGGGGCGTGCCGACCAGAAGAAGGGTGGTCTTGGTAGGATGCATCGTCGGGGAATTGGCAGCGAAGTGGGACTGGGGGGTGAGGATGGTTTCCTCCTGACGGGATTTTAGGATGCACAGGTGGTCGGGATGGACGGAGTCGAAGAGTTGGATGTCGTCGGCGTGAGAAACCAGACGCCCGTGAGACAAGTAGGATGAAAGGTCGTTCGTCGTTTGTGAAAATGCTGAAGCGGATTGGGCCCACCAGGGACCCCCATGGGACACTGCAGCATAAGGGAACGGATAGTGAGCTACCTCTTTCCACCTGCCGCCGTCCACCAGGATAAATTTTAAACCATCGGGGATCGATGCTGTATCACTGCAGCTACCAGTCAGGAGGACGCCGTGGTCAGTGCTTTCGAAAGCTCGACTTAGGCCTATGAAGGTGACGGCGACAATATGTCCAGAGTCGATCCGGCGCGTCATCCACTCCACGGTATCGAGCAGTGCGTCCCCCGTTGAGTGGCACGGCCTATACGCGTATTGTGAGGGGGCTAAAAGACCGTGGACATCAAGATATGCCGACAACTGCTGACAGACAATCTTTTGGCATATTTTCGACGACACAGATGAACTTTTTATTGGCCCAAAATTGCTGGCAACGTCATGTGCATCGACTCTCAATCAATGTTGTGCAAGGTGCGAGACGTTATCAAACCATGACGCATCGAGCAGCATATTCACTAAACAGAGAATTGTGTTGTCTGGAGCGGTCTTCTCCACTTAAAGAGTATACCAACAGCGGGGATGCTTTTTTAATGGAGAGGGAAGCAAGCCGAGCTACTGAAGCAAGCATCAAAACTGGTGCTTGCTGCAATATCCTCACGTTTGAAACATTCACTTTAAGACTTCGTGCCGATGAATCCCAAAGGCTCGGAGCAGCCAAATGAGGTGATCGGCAGTCAGCTGGGGTGGTTTCGAGCGTTTGGTGATCTTCGACCTGACCCAAGGTCACTATGTTCTAGATAGGATACGTTATGGTCAGGGGAAAATCAAGTGGTGCATGTTTGGTGACGGCCAGTCTCATAGGTTCGGAGCATAGGGTTGCTCAAACGTATTAGCGGTCGTTTAGTCCGGTTCCGTCATCTCACAACTATGACGCTCAAAGGACATTTGTTTGTTTGCTTATGAATTTTAGTATTACTGTTTTACGCCTGGGCCCCAAGAGGCTATGCGCCCTAAGTCAACAAAAAGAAGAAGTATTACTGTCAAACATTAGGCAACCAGATAAAGGTAGTGGTGGGAGTGGGGGCTAATGGTACTTATTTCTTTGTTTTGAGGTGAAATAGGAACCGCTTTTACTGGTTGGACTGGGACTGTCGCTGAAGTGGAGTTTACGGTCCTGCTGTTGACTGAGTGAGCCATGCCTCATGAGCTATTGTTGATAATTAAAAGATACAATATATGCCTTTGTTTATGACGACTGATTGGTTTAATGCTAAGCTTAACAGGCCTGATTGATCCAATGACTGAATTGTAAGTTTGAACTGTAATCTGAACACCAGAAGTTTGTGTCAGATTTAAGAACTTAATTGTGTCAATTGGGTGGATTATGTGTCAAGTTAATATGAAATTGAAGAACTGCTTGCTGTACTATTAAGTTGAGTTGAATGAATGATCTTTGAACAAGCAAACAATGGATCAGATCAAGGTTATTAAGTATGGAATGAATCAAGGATATATTAATCCGTTAAAGGCAACTTTACCAAATGATTTGGAGCAGAACTGGATCATTGATCCTGAATATGCATTTTCAAGGAGAATGATTCATTTAAAACGAATTCAATCATATTTTGACTCAGATGGGAATCATTCTACAACCAGATAACCTGATGGGGATTGATTTTTTAAAAACATGTATAAGGTATGGAAATGTGACCTTAGGATATCAGTCAAGAGATCAAATGTTTTTTTTTTAAATTCTGAAGCTTCAAGATCCAGATGTCCAATAACAGCATTAGGTGATGGCCACTGATGAACCATAAAGAACACTAGGGAAATTAGTTTTGATAAATTGATGGTTTAATTACCCAGTCAACTTGTTGACAGAGTGCCAGAGCTTGTTCTTTGTAGCCTTGCATTAGATATATTCAAAAGGTGATCTTGATGTCTTTAAAACATTCAAGTAAGATTTTAAGATTTTCATTGTTGCCTCCAGAGGTGCACCTGGGGCATATTGATCATGTTAAATGTTGAACAGTATAATCAGTTTAGGGAGAAGTGTATTTGGTAGAAGTTTTGAGCATCATCATGACTAGATCACAGGATATATTGCTGGTATGAACCTGCTTTGGAAACACTGCCTTGGAATAACCTGAGCATCCAGGCAGACTGATTTGCAAAGCCAGTTTCCTTAAATAGATCATGGTGCTCAACACCATAGGGGTGAAATCAAAATAATGGAATTAAAAATAATTGAGTTCAGATCTTGGCCAACAAGCTTATTGCGGGCATTTCATAGCACACACATATTTCTGAACCAGATATTGGGAATAGAGAGATAAATATGGATATCCATTGAGATAGATATATTGGGAATAGTTTTTGCATTTCCATGGTTGGCTTATCATAGAAAGTGCACAGTTGTCAAGTGGCCAAAGAGGGTTGACAAGGCCTGGGATAGATGCAAACAAGGCTCTTCTGTGGTGAGCCTTGTTTGCATGAGCCTGGAGGAGCAAAATAATGAATAATAGGATTACTCATTTGATTAGCTGAACAACTGACTTTGATCATTTGTTCATGACTCACACAATATGTTTTGGTTGGAGAGTATTGTCTATCAGCCCTGAATCACAATGCTTAAAACCTTCAAAACACACTATTCATGTGTGTTACTTCCAGTTGCTGCTTGCCAGTGCCATCTCATATGCTTCAGCATGAGTGAGGAGCATGTACGCGAGGAGCAGCTGCGAGAAGCTGCTTGTGTTGGTGATCTGAAGGCACTGAGGGAGCTCATGCAAAATGGTGTCAACGTCAACTCAAAGAATGCTGTCAATGGCTGGTGAGTACCACACTGTCTTCTAATCCTGTCTCGCATGAGAGGGGATTGGTATGTTTGTCACTGGCCCACTGACTTTGACTTTGTTTGAACTATATGGTTGGGCTCGTTAACTGGATAAGGTGGACATTGGAATATTTAAAGGAGTTCAATTAGAGTAACTGAAAATAACTGAATGCCAAAATAGTTTTAGTGCGCGAAAGACGTTTCAGGAGGTTTAGTGTGTGAATGGGCCTGTCCACGCGGCTTATTAAGAGCGATGGATGTCGCGAGGGCGTCGGCTGATATGGGGGAGTAGCACCCCGGCGGTCGCCAGCTCCCGTAATGGATGGACAACGCAAGCTATTCATTGCACAGGCCAGCGATTCCGCCGGCACCTGAGCTCCAGGTTCTCCCGCCCCCTTCCCTCCGCATCACCTGCGTTCTGCCCCGCCCCATCCCCCGCCTTTCCAGTGCCCCTCATGGTCGTTATACCGGGGTCTCTGTGCCGCCTGGCCCGTGTCCTCCGGAGCTGGTGACGAGAGAGGGGGGGGGGGGGGGGATGGAGGTGGGAGGCCGCCGTGGAAATCCGTCTCGGCGCGCACCACCTAGCCGGTGGGGCCCACACGGGTTACAGTGACCACTTCGACCATGCCTTCAGCGAAACTAACATCTGTAGTCACCTAGACACCTCAGTGATTATGTCACTAAGGTGTCGAGCCAAATAAGACGCTGGCTCTTGAACCTGTACCCAGTGCTACTGGATATCAACGCCAGCACCTATCCCCTGGACTTCTGATATTCGTTTCGATAAAGGCATGCAGCCAAAATATCAGTCGCTCCATTTGCCCGGTTATTCTACGAGGAATAAGGCTGTGAGTACTGTCTTATCAATATGAAAACATCCTTTGACCAGATGACTTCTGCATGTGACGACTTAGTATACCCCGGTGGACCTGTGTAGCTGTTGGCCATCGCGGTGACCGGCTGGCGCACGGCTTTGAGTTCATTGGTTATCCCTTGCGCGAGCAATTAAACCGTGCATAACTACACGACTACATGATCTGTCAAGGCGAAGGGAAATGAGATGTCCATTGGACGGTAAATGATTGAGGAATTTTACTATGCAGTTTTATGGGTGTGGCTAGTAGTGAATAAGTAACAGTATGGCTTATATTGGTTTCGAGAAAAAATGAAGGTGTTTTGCCACCTAGCCATATTTACAACAACAACTTGCCGGGCATCACTTTTGTTGGCCTATCAGTCGAGCACTTGCAGTTGCTTGCACTTGCACGAGCGAGCACTTGCACAGACTTGCAGTTGTGCGTACGCGTCTCGGATGGGGCTAATGCTGTGGCACGACTGCCCCATGCTTAGTCTGACCCACGTGCCAGCTGACGTCTGCGGGGAGGTCGGATCAAATAAGGCGCCGGCTCTTGAATTTTTACCCAGTGTCACTGGATAACGACTCCAGCACGTATCCCCAGTCTACGTTGGCGTCAACATGATGAGCATTACAGAATGAGTAGTGCACGTAGTATGCCATTGCCAACTTCTTCGACATTAGTTCGAGTCTGTTCGGCATCCAGGGACCAATGGCGGGGCAGGTCGTAGTGTGGTCGGTGGACCGGGCTGAGAACACCGGCGTATGTGTGGGGGGTGGGGGGGGGGGGGATTTGAAGCTCAGACTTGGCCGATGATTGGCTGCAGAACAGTCCCAGCGCCCTGAAGTCTTGTGGCTTACTAATATATGTGATCCTCCGTAAGTGGGTGCCACTTTCGTCGCTATTGGTGAATCAGATGTTCGAATCAACATATGAGCATCATATGACGACAACGTTGGAGGATTTTTAATTCTCATCGGATTTTATTTCCTTTTCCCTCAAGGAGTACTCTAAACAAACTGACCACTAAAAGTTACCCGGATTTTCTTCTAAGCTCCGCAATGTGTCACATCTGTTTGTCCCTCCCCTTGGATCATCTCTTAACATGCGTGCACCAGAAGCTAGCAGGCGTAGATGAGCCTGAGCGTACATTTATCGACCGAAATCACCGGACGGACTGCGATTCGGTGGCTCGTGCTGAAGGAGGGGGGGGGGGGGGGAGACGTCCGGTCCCCCGTGCTGCAGGAGGTAGGTGGCGTGACGTCCGGTCGCCCTGGTGGAGGAGTTGGGTGGTGTGACGTTTGGGTCGCCCATGCTGGAGGATGTGGGTGGTGTGACGTCCTGTCGCCCGTGCTGGAGGATAGGGGGGGGGTGACGGTCCGGTCGCCCGTGCTGGAGGATAGGGGGGGGGGGTGGACGTCCGGTCGCCCGTGCTGGAGGATAGGGGGGGGGGGTGACGTCCGGTCGCCCGTGCTGGAGGATAGGGGGGGGGGGGTGACGTCCCGGTCGCCCGTGCTGGAGGATAGGGGGGGGGGGGTGACGTCCTGTCGCCCGTGCTGGAGGATAGGGGGGGGGGGGTGACGTCCGGTCGCCCGTGCTTGAGGGGGCGGGTGGTGTGACGTCCGGTCGCCCGTGCTAGAGGAGGTGGATGGTGTGACGCGCGTCCCGTACGGCCAGGTCTGCCCTGCACTGGGGATGCAAGCGGGGCCGGCTGGAGGCCGTCCGGATTCTGCTGGACGGCGGCGCCGACATCACGGCCAACAACAACGCCGGCCAGGTGCCGGCCCAACTCACCAGCAACTCCGACATCCTGCGGCTGATGGGTGAGGGCTAGTCCGCACTGCACCCCAGTTAGAGGCGGGGCCGACTCTCTCCTGATATCTGGCGGCATCATGGGGAGTGGGGTCCGGAATTTGGGGAATGTTTTGTCTGTGCTGCGTTAGTCTCATGTGGTAGCATTGTGAGCAGTTTGCGTTAAACGTAGCGTACAGTATGATACATGAAATTTCGTGCCCAACGTATGCCTGCGTTTATATGTATGTGTGTATGCATGCATGTCTGTATGCGAGTTCTATTAAAAGCGTGCCTAGATCTGCCCATGTTACCGGCCTATCATGCAGGCGAGGTTCGCCTCTGTGCCGGCAGGTGTGGAGGTGGCGAACGGCGCGGAGGTGCGGTCCGAGCCCCCCTCCGAGCCCACCTTCACACCATCCTACATCACCTACCCGGCCACGTCCGTCGACCCTCGCGCCCAGCCGGCTGCACGGCGGCGACGGGGGCGCCGCGGAGCCAGCGGCACCTAACGGCGTGCCGGATAGACGGCCGCCGACCGAGCTGGGCGCCGCCTGCCGGCTCTGTCACTGCCAGCGGCTCCGGCCCGCAAAGGGCGTCGTTCCCGACGACGGTACGCTGTCGGACGGACGCTTACACCGTGTGATGCACAGTCAGCTGATCTTGCCTGTTTGTGCGTCTGGTTCTGCAGCCAAAGACATGGTGGCACCCATTCTGTCATCGCAGAGGCGCAGTTGAGGTCGGATTAGACCGTGAACGTGATGCCGCATGTGTGGGATTTTTTAGGGGCCATCTTCGACCATGTCACGTATGGGTGTCTTACCATTTTAGTGCCGTGCATGGTATATGTGTTGTCGCATGCCACTCAAGAGCTCTCTTAAGGCAAAGTCCGTTTCGATCTGTGCATGTGCGAATGTCTGTATGATCTGTGCTATTTGCGAACATTGTGTTGAATGACGGGATCCATGGGTATGGTCATTAGTGTGTTGAAACATTTTTTCCAAACCCGTGATATGCATAGCCTCGAATGGTTCGTAAGCCCTAATTTTTCATGACCACTAATGTGTATAACCCCTCACGGTTCACAAACTCTACAATAGCCCAGATACTGTTTATGACCTCCAATGTTTCATGTATAGGTTATCAAAGCCCGCAATACTCACGACCCCCTGTGGCCCCAAAGCTGATAATGACCATTGACCCGTGATGTCCATGACCCTTGATACGGATAAACCGATATTTTTGAAACCCCAAGGGACACGTGACCTGTAACATCCGAAACATCGAATACCTATGGATGCTAATGTTTAGAAAGCATAATGTTCAAATCTCCAATGCAACCACTTATGTTTGACTCTCCCAACGATATCATCTGCAGTCGCGCTGTCCTACAATTTTTGCCCAGCGTGACTGTTTGGGTGCATGTGGATGTGCGTGTGCTTGTGTAGATGAGTATGTGTGTGCGTGTGCGCGTGCGTGTGTACGTGTGTTCGCTTGTCCGTCTCTGACACCGGGTAATATTTTTGCTCAGAGCTGGTGTTGAAAGTGCGGGTGGCCGGTGTGCCGGACAACGCAGACTTTATCGAGCTGGAGATGTCAACGGCTGAGCTGACGATGGACCGGCTGCTGCGCGAGTGCTGCCGAGAACTGAACATCGAGGGACAGGTCGGGCCGCCCTCAGGACACCCACCGATCTGCTCCCACTGTCTACCTCTCTCAGCCTCTCCCGCTCTACAGTGTCCTCACTGTCTCTTTCTCTGAGCTACCTCATGCTGTTCTCTCTCTCTGAACTACCCTATGCTGTTCTCTCTCTCTCTCTCTCTGAGCTACCCTATGCTGTCTCTCTCTCTCTCTCTCTCTCTCTCTCTCTCTCTCTCTCTCTTCTCTCTCTCTCTCTCTCTCTCTCTCTCTCTCTCTCTCTCTCTCTCTCTCTCTCTCTCTCTCTCTCTCTCTCTCTCTCTCTCTCTCTCTCTCTCTCTCTCTCTCTCTCTCTCTCTATCTCTCTCTCTCTCTCTCTCTCTCTCTCGCTCTCGCTCTCGCTCTCGCTCTCGCTCTCGCTCTCGCTCTCGCTCTCGCTCTCGCTCTCGCTCTCGCTCTCGCTCTCGCTCTCGCTCTCGCTCTCGCTCTCTCGCTCTCTCGCTCTCTCGCTCTCTCGCTCTCTCTCTCTCTCTCTCTCTCTTCCTGCTCTGTTCTCCATTTCGTCCTCGCATGTTCTCGTGCAGGGTGGAGTCGTCTGCCAGACTCTCTGCCACGTTGATCCGCCGCTGGTCAGGGTGTTGCCAGAGACCTATGCAAGCAGCATGGCTTGTAAGAGAGGGTCATTCTGCAATGTAGGTTTCTGCTCAATATCGAACGTTGTCCTGTTTCCTGCGGGCGTTAAGCTCATGCGTCTGTCACATCACAACTATGGCCTCCTGGCATGTCTGCATTCGCTTGATTGAAATCTGGAAACAACTTCGGCTGTTTGAATGTTTCAGTCAGATGAAAGAGTGTTCAGGGTTGGCCCATTGTTTGTCCTCGGACACCAATCACATTGCTCAAAGCCTCATCCGTCGAAACTTTACTTCGTCCCACAGGCTTCCACTTGAGACTTAACTAGCTCGAAGCGATCAAATTGATTTCACCCCTCCCCCCGCTCAAGCGCTCAGAAATATCGGTTACAAACTGCTTAGAACCATGCCTGATAATACTCATATTTTTGGCACCACATCAGTCAAAGTCAGGTTACGCCGCCTTGGATGTTTCAGTAGCTGGCACATATCTCATGCCATGATGCACCGTCATAAAACGGTCGTCTGGTGACGTCTGTGGCACCCTACTGTTCTCGACTATGAGATCGACGCTTAAATTTACAGCCCGCTGTTGATGACTTCACTGCATGGAGAAAACAGCAGACATCAACGTGATAGCTCTGATCGATAAAAGTACACCATAGTGTATTATGTGAAGCACTACTTCTGCAGACGTTTTGGGCGGGCAACCCCGGCCTATGGCCCGCTTGTGCGTTTTCGTCACAGGTCATGTGGTAAAACCGGCACCCTCAGCACGTGTTTGCACTTCAACTTGTTGCAGTTTCTCTCGATTTTCGGACCGGAGCAACCTATCTGGTCTGAAGCCTGTTACGTGGTGGTTTCCCTCTCCGTCCCTCCCCAACACTCAGATTTGCCCAAGATCCTATGCTGTTTTAGCTTCTACGCCAGCTGCGGCGATGTCACCGACTGAGCAGGACTGGCGGCGCCAGCGTGCCAGACTCCCTCCCGAACACCGAGCCCGAACCTCCCGTCACGGGCGTGATCTCCCTCCCGAACACCGAGCCCGAACCTCCCGTCACGAGCGTGATCTCCCTCCTGAACACCGAGCCCGAACCTCCCGTCACGGGCGTGATCTCCCTCCCCGAACACGGAGCCCGAAACCTCCCGTCACGAGCGTGATCTCCCTCCCGAACACGGAGCCCGAACCTCCCGTCACGAGCGTGATCTCCCTCCCGAACACGGAGCCCGAACCTCCCGTCACGAGCGTGATCTCCCTCCCGAACACGGAGCCCGAACCTCCCGTCACGAGCGTGATCTCCCTCCCGAACACGGAGCCCGAACCTCCCGTCACGAGCGTGATCAGCTGGTGAGGGACGCGATAACGGCAGCTTGGCGGACCGTCTCCCGTGGCTGATCATGCCGCGGCGCTCGGTCAGCCTGGGCTTCTGACCGCAGGTGATCGACCGGGTACGGAAGCTCCCGAACACGATCCTGCGCCGCGACCGGGACGTGCGCCGGCTCACCGACTACCAGGAGCTGGAGCTGGTGCTGCGTGACAGCGTCAGCTCCAGCTCGACGCGGTCGGCGGGGCCCTTCAGCCAGCCCATCGTCTACTAGAGAGCGGGGCCCGCGCCGCCCGGCCGGCCGTCGGAGGAGGCCAGCCCGCGCGACGGCGCCGTCTGTTGAGCTGCGTGTCGTCCACCGACCAGCTACTCTCAGCGCGCGGTGCTATCACGTGGGGCGCGGTTCGCCGCTGACTGCTCGCCGCGCTGGTCGGGGTCGCCGCCTTGTGGTCGTGTGTTACGCCCTGCCCATGCCCTCGCCTTCTGTTCTGCTTCCAGCGCCGCGTCGCTCGGCTCGTACCGACTGCCTGATCGCCCGCCTGTCGTGTGACTGAAGGCAGAGTGCGCTTGCCCCCCCCCCCCCCCCTCCGGGAGCCGTGTGCGCACGCACACGGTCTGTTTTTTCAGACATTCTGCGGCACTGTCTGCTGCAGAGTGTGTTCTGTAATGCACCGATTAGCTGTTACCCAATTGGAACGGTCTGCAAGTCGTGATATTTTTGCGGGTGATTTTGCATTGGATGGTTAATACTCAATGTGGTACTATTTGCCGTAGTGATTTATGTAGCATTAGGCAACAAATATATGTGAACTGTAATACCTGTGAACTGAGGGTTAGCGTTGAAGCGATGGCGGGCTACGGTGTTCGTGCTCGAGCTTTTGAATGCGCTCTCCCACAGCTGGTGGTAGTATCCCGGAGCGTGCCAGTGATTGCTTCGTCTTAACGTTGTGCGTCTCAACCCTGTGAGTGTGCGTCGCTTTCTTACCAGCGAATATCGTACTGACGAAATACAAATGTTATTCCGTTGTACCATGAACGATTTTGATGCTAGCAGCGTCGGTGTTCCAGTATATTCGAGGAAAGACGGTGTCCCGACCAGTAAGCACGTAGCCGATGTGTGTTCACATTGGTGCTAATCGGTCAAGCGTGAAGATGAGAGGGATTGTCGTGCGGCTTCAGCCGTCTAGTAATTGGCGCGTGCACGTAGCGTTACTGCTGGAGTGCCCAACTCAGCTTGATTTTGCTAACCGTAATCGTGCTTGGCACAGCTGGCAAAAAGGCACAGCTCTGTGCTGACTTATGACCGTTTCTTCCCCTAAAGCCGTGTGCCGTGTGCTACTGACAGGGGCGTGGCAAATAGTAAATAAGATGTGTGAATAACAGCTGGTAATCGATAAACAGGTAGGATATTTGATAACTATGTACATATTCGATGCGTCCGTGCAGTTTTCAGGACATCAAAAAAATGTGAACGTGTAATGTCGCTGTGGACGACTTGGCGACGGTGCGGAACCGTAGCAAATGTGCTGCGTAATCACAGAGGTCCGCTCTCGTGTCGAGTGCATGCCCGAGTGTTATCTTGCAATTGAAGGCCACTTGTCGACATTTACGGGAACAAATATCGCGTGGAAGAATGCATTCAGGTACTTGCGTTGAACACTTAGTTGAACTTGCGTTGAACCCTTACGTTGCACTTTCGTCGAACCCGTGCGTCCAACTTGCGTTGAACCCTTACGTTGAACCCTCAGGTGAACTTGCGTTGAACCCTCACATTGAACCCTCAGGTGAACCTGCGTTGAACCCTTTCATTGACCTTGCATTGAACGCTGACGTTGGACTTGCGTTGAACATTTGAGGATTGCCTACACTTGCCGTGTGTGGGATTGGATCCAGCGGTGTGAGCTTCCCACCTACATAATGTGCGGCTGTCAGGTCCGGCCAAAACGCATGCCCACCACATGGTTATATTGCCGACAGTGCAGTGCATCCCGCTTGTACTTTTGGCGGTTCATGGCCTCGTCATATTCAGCGCGCTCTGACATATTAGTGACCGGGATGCCCTTTTGCGGGAGATAGCGGCCTACACAAGAAACTTCCGTGGTAAAATCCCTTTTGATGATATTCGCGCTTTGTCAGAGACGTATCCACCTGGTCTCCTCAAAGCGCGGATGGTGGAATGTCACCTGCAGTATGGAAAAAAACATCTTTCAGTGTCCATCGCCGCCTTTTGTTCTTGCTCAGGGCTCAGCAAGTCACGAGGCGTTTGTCTAAGCCGCACATATGCTTCAGGCTGTTTCCCCGTAAAGAGCGAGGCTTTCAGTCTCCTCGTGTAGGGGAAAGTGGAGTTCGTCCCAATGGGGTAAGGCCACGGTTCCTCTAGAAAGGTAAAGCGGGCCCTCGCTTTCTCTCCCAAGCCAGTGCTGCCACCTCCCGCCAATCATAGTAACCACATTTGTCGTTTGCATTAGTGGCACGCGGTTTGGCCAAGTAAGCACGCTGAGTACGGGACTTTGGTTATTAGCTGGGACAATTGTAGCTTTTAAAGAAGTGACAAAGTCTAGTAAAGGTCTAGCGATCGTGATTTGCGGATACGCCACCATCATTGTTGTAATTATATGTGTATTCCACTGTGAAGAGCGATGCTGGGGCCACAGTAACGGTGATGCAATATTCGACGAATGAGACGATTTGGCATCCCAGTCATGTTTCCGAAATCGCCGTGTAATGATGAAACGGAAAACTGGTGGACAACATCTCAACCTGTTGTAATCCGATTTATCCCACCGAAACCAAAGCATAGCCCAACGCCGTGACACGCTTAAAGTACTCTCAGTCAATTAAAGTTCCGTATCCACACACTACTGCTGAAGCATCAACGCAAGATTGGTCGTGGAAGTCTGGATGAGGAAAAATGGCGTTGACAACTGAAGAGGCCTCTCCAAATAAATCGGCTCCCTGAAAACTGCCAAACAATTCAGCGCTCTTAAAGCAACTGTGAAACGAACGATTCAAAGTCAGAACAAGGGGTTCTCATTGCATCAAGGGCAAGAGAAGCTTTTAGGACCCAGGACGCTTCTGTCAAGCCCAGCTCCGGAGAAGGGGCTCGTATATCATCCTGCCGATGCAAAGTAAGTTTTTCGGGTTAGCGACCAAAGACGGACGATGCATGGCCTCCCACATGACAGAGACATCCAGACACTTCATCACCTTAATGAAGCGATCTTGCTGGTAAGGACTGGTTGGCCGGACTTCAGCGACGACATCCGGAGGGACATCCGGAAGAAGCGCTTGTGGTACCTGAAACGACGTCGGTGGCCTGCACGAGGGCATGAAATCCTGTGAACGTGCGGAAGCTCTTTGACCTGCTGTAGAATAAGCTGAACACAGGCGCTTTCCGGCTCGCCACATATGCAAATGTAATTAAACGTGCTTGACCACTGCCCAAGCAGAGCCGAAAAAGTAAAATAATTTGCATGCAAAAGCAAGACACGTGTCAGTACCCTGACCTCAGCGGAGCTTAGCATCCTCTTAACGACTGTGAGGATGCTACGCAGCCTATGTAGCTGTAGGAGACAGTCCCACCATTCCCGATCTTCCCAAGGAGTCGGATGAAGCCCAAACTCCCGGATGATACTTCACCTGAGACCGGGCACGCTTGCCGCCCGTCACACTGGGACCGGAGGCACTCGCCGTCCGTCACGCTGGGACCGGACACGCTCGCCACCCGTCACGCTGGGACCGGACACGCTCGCCACCCATCACACTGGGACCGGACACGCTCGCCACCCATCACACTGGGACCGGACACGCTCGCCACCCGTCACGCTGGGACCGGACACGCTCGCCACCCGTCACGCTGGGACCGGACACGCTCGCCACCCATCACACTGGGACCGGACACGCTCGCCACCCATCACACTGGGACCGGACACGCTCGCCACCCATCACACTGGGACCGGACACGCTCGCCACCCGTCACGCTGGGACCGGACACGCTCGCCACCCATCACACTGGGACTGGACACGCTCGCCACCCATCACACTGGGACCGGACACGCTCGCCACCCGTCACGCTGGGACCGGACACGCTCGCCACCCGTCACACTGGGACCGGACACGCTCGCCACCCATCACACTGGGACCGGACACGTTCGCCACCCGTCACGCTGGGACCGGACACGCTCGCCACCCGTCACACTGGGACCAGACACGCTCGCCACCCATCACACTGGGACCAGACACGCTCGCAACCCGTCACACTGGGACCGGAGACACTCACCGCCCGTCACGTTGGGACCGGACACGCTCGCCACCCGTCACACTGGGACCGGAGACACTCGCCGCCCGTCACGTTGGGACCGGACACGCTCGCCACCCGTCACGCTGGGACCGGACACGCTCGCCACCCGTCACGCTGGGACCGGACACGCTCGCCACCCGTCACACTGGGACCGGAGACACTCGCCGCCCGTCACGTTGGGACCGGACACGCTCGCCACCCGTCACGCTGGGACCGGACTCGCTCGCCACCCGTCACGTTGGGACCAGACACGCTCGCCACCCGTCACACTGGGACCGGAGACACTCGCCGCCCGTCACGTTGGGACCGGACACGCTCGCCACCCGTCACGCTGGGACCGGAGACACTTGTCACCGGTCACACTGGATGCAATTCAACATCTTCAAGCAGTGACTCCAGCATTTTCTACGTCATGTCAAACCTTCTGAGGACGATCCAGGTCTCCTCATGCTGGATGGCCTCATGTCTCACGCAAAGGTTTTGGACGTCATCAAGCTTGCTAGAGCAAACCGTGTGACGATCGTGCTACCCCCACCTGCTGCTGTGCTGCTATGGTACGCACAAGTTACAGCCTTTTTACACGTGACGTGAACTTCACGTTCCCGCTTAACACCTTCGACGGACAGGGACAGGCGATTGATAAATGGTCCAGGAACGACCCCGGTCGCGAAGCAACACTGTATCAGATTGGCCAGTTGTTCGGGGAGGCCTGTCCTCAGGTCGTAGTTCCGGCAACTGCCACTAACGCGCGTTGCTGGACGGGTATCTTTCCGCGCAGCTGCGACCGTCCTCGGCAAGGAAGATTTTGCTGCAGCAGGAGGTTTTAAGAGGCCAAATGAGGATGCCGGTCTAGCATCGGTTTCGATCAGATCTGGTGGGACACGTTGAGTCCGCCACTCTCGGCTCAGAAAGGGCTTCTACCAGTTCATATCAGACGCAGAAAAAGTGTCTACGTTTGAAGCAGAATGTCCTGAAAGTGAAGATGGACGCGTACCATGCACCAGCCACGAGGGTCTCTGTCCTTTCCGACCTCATCACAACATCCCGTTAAATAAGGCACCGCA